ATGACATTTAGCAAATCTACGAGTCTATGATCGTGATATTAATTGACTGGACACACACGAATCAGTGGTAAAATAAACTGTTCTCACATTTTATTATGATCCATTCCTATTTCAAATAATGCATTATGCAATGATAATTCAACAAAACAAAAAGAAAAGGAACAATTTTTTTTTCTCTCTTTTGTGTTGTAAACCACTTTTATTAAACATTGTTTCTGCATTACATTTTTTCTATACAGTTTTATGATAGATATCCTGTAATTATAATAACAATTACAAAAACAAAATTTTATAATGCAGTAATAAATGCAAAATTGCTTCTAAAATATTCATATTTTTTTTCTTTAGTTGAATATCTATCTCAGTTTATTGTTTTATGTGGATTTACATTTAATTTCAATACATTGTCACATGAATTGCTGCACAGTAACCATTCAAAGAAAGGAGCAACATTACAATATTGCGATACAGAAATGGTCATGGAGAGCGTAGTAATATACGGTATGTAATATAAACATTATACAAATATACAGGCCTATTAATTCGTTAAATCCCAATGAACATGCAGCAATACATGATAAAGAAAAGTTCAAGACGGTTGTAATTGATCACCTGACGATTTTATAGTCCAGAAGCTAACCTGTTCCACCAATGCCGTAGCCAGGATTTCCAAATGGTGGGACAATATCAGGGTGGATCCACTTTACGCGTAAATTGAAACAATGTGGACCAACTGTCTTAAAAGTTTACCCATTTCACGCCAAAATATGAAAAATATGGACCCATGCTCAAAATTTACCCATTTTAGGCTAAATATGAGAAATCTGGACCCATTTTTCAAAAAGTGAACCCATTTTATTTATAAAATTGCATAATTTGGACCCATTTATAAAAAATGTGGACCCATAGTTTGTGGACCCATTAGAAAAATTATGTGGGACTGTACTGTCCCAACTGTCCCAATAGCTGGCTACGGCATTTTGTGCCCCAAACCCTCCGCATTTTGCTCATTTCATGGGCTTTGAGGTGTATTTTTCCAGATCCAGAGTGATATAAACAAGTTATATCGTTATAATAACGTTAAACGAATCAGATTGTTATTTACATTATATATTGATGATGCTTGATACCAAAATAATGTAATGTACCATTACCCTTTAAAACATAGGTCATCGTATTCATCGTATTTTAAAAATGCAATGTAGGCCTACCTCTCATTTCATGTATCAAGTACACTGACAACTGATAGGCGTACTTTAGAAGAGGATTTTGCTGACCGTTCAACAGTTATATGCCTACTTCGTTGTCAGTATAAGACTGTATATCGATTACGTTATTGTTATTGTTAAAGACATCGACATATATCCATTTCATAGTATTGATGATGCAGATAATTCGATAACATTTGATGACGACATTCAATAACATTTGATTAACAAACCAAGAATAATCGCCATCATTATCATTACGGTACTGTACCATTACCGTTATCGTAATCATATGATTTCCGTTATCGTTTTTAATATCAGAATGTCATTCATATTGTCATGGCCTAGCCATCGTGATTGTTATTATTAGAGGCTTGGGCAAGATATATAGCAGGCCTAATGGTAATTGATTAGAATCCAGTTCAAAATGGGCCTAGTTTAAGACTTGTCAATGCTGTACATATCCTTGGTTAGGATAGTTGGCCCTAAGTTACATCGTCCGGAGTATAGACGACAGGACGTTAAGCCGTTGGGTTCGCGTGTGCATAGTGCACAAAAAACAATTCAGTTATAGCCCTATAATAAACATATTTCCCATAGCAATTAGCTAAACGTAACACGCGTAATAAGACGTTAATCATGTACAAAATGATGTATACCGTGCTCGAATAAGCGTCGCCGCGCTTATAACATTTTTGGTGGCTTCACTGCGGCGCATATTCAAGAGCGGCGCTTATTCGAGAGCGGCGCCGCTTTCCTTGCCCGTTTCCATGTTACCTATTTCATGTTTTCCCGTAGTTCAGTAGGCCTATCATAGGTCCTATCATCGTAAACAAACGTTTATAAGAAATGCTTGTGTTTTCATTGTTATATATTCATTTTAACACTGTATAGGTATACATTGAATTTCAATCCCTGTTTCATTACACATAGTGTAATATTAGGCTTACTCTCGATTAAGCGCCGCGGCGCTTAACGAAAAAAAAAATAATGTTTGGTGCGGCGCTTATTTGAGAGTGGCGCTTATTTAAGAGCTGCGCTTATTCGAGCATTTACGGTACGCAGGAAAAACAGAGATTTTATAACTACTCTTTGCCTGCACAGGTAAATTAGCTGGTAGACAATAGTAGGGTACATGGACATTTGTTGCTAATTAAAAATATTCATGACTCAATTTGCCATCATGTCACTTTATTATATTGTACCGGTACCTGGTATGTTTTCACCAGATTCTTTCAGTCTCAATAACATTCGTTGGCCCAGTGATAATCTGTGACATATGACAGATTGCATGATATTAGTTGATCTATTTTAGGGTTTCAAAAATAACGCGTTTTCTTCGTCACACAATACTGGGAGTATTCTAGAACGGCCCAGGCCTCATAAATAAACACTCCAGATTAATTACTAATGGGGAGAAAACACTAAAGCTATCGAGTATGTCACGAAACCATTGGGGGAAGCGCCAGTTAGCTGTTGACGCATGAATGCGGAATACTTCAACTTCAAACACTGATATGATAACAATACGCCCACTATTTAAACTACATACAAAAGAAACTTTCAAAATAAAAATTCCACGCCGACAAATAAAATAATAATACAAAAAACATTTAAAGCAGAGAAACGTGCCGTGAATGATGCAAACTTCGCATAAGTGAATTTGTTGTGGAAGCAATTAATTTAAATTTTGATATTGGATCTCATGGTAACGAATGGATCGGTCAAACACCACTGTTGTGGCTTCCAGTATTCCCATTATCCTGTCTATCTTTATCATCGTCATTTTTATAAATATATAAAAGTATTATTTTTATTATTATTACTATTATCATCATTGTCATTATTATTACTAACAAATCATAAATCTTTCGGTACACCATGTGTAAAAAATATGAGTTTTCGAGGTACCTAGGTAAAACCACTGGTTCTTGGTTGTCTCAATTATTATTACTGTACTATGTTTGTATTTATGTTCTGCGTATCGTATCCTGGGCACATAAGGGTAACAGTTGACCCAGGTTAAGCAAGAAATAATTTTCAAAAATCTGTTCAGTTTAAGCAGAGCGAGCCCAGTGAGGGATTTCACAGATAAAGGGTCTACTGGTATTGGTCTACCACTTGAGCCCCACACGTTTGGGGCTGAGGTAAGACAATTATGACAGCTGCTGGCTCCCACTAATACTACTGCTGCTACTACTAATACTAATAATAATAATTATAATAATACTAATAATAATAAAAATAATAATAATAATACTAATAATAACAACAATAATAATAATAATAATAATAATAATAATAATAATAATAATAATAATAAACTTCAGCTATAATAATAATAATAATGGACATTTTCGATATTTATTTATTTTGTTACTTCATTTAAATCCAACAGCATGTACACTCGTCTATTCCTGATGGAATGATGCTAAAATATGAAGGTTCTGGAAGGGCTAAGTATAATTAGCATTGTCATTTAATAGCATTGTTATTGAAATACAAGAGAGCACGATCGTTACTTTGGAATGTCCTCAACGAAAAATGTGGGTGTTGAGGGTGCTTGACTAGGAATTTTAGGCGGTGCGTTGGTAAATGTTTGATTAGGATTATTCGTGGTGACATGTAGGCACCATCTCAAGTGTGGGGTGTTTCAATTTTACCGACACAAAACTAGTTTATGTCTTTAGCTACGAATACTATATGCCATGTCATGCATCCTCTGTTGGAACTTCAAAGGAACAATAAAAATAGCAGGCATAATGAGAAGTAAATACAGGATTAACTTGCGATCAATTTCACCAATTTCATTTTTAATTTAAAGACAGAAAATGTTTAAATTGCGAAGTACCGTAAAGAAGATTCATTTACAGCTAATCGGAAACTATTGATGTACAATAGTTGATATTAGTCTGTAGGCCTATCACATTCAAAAGGTGAGATATATTTGGAACTAGATAGTGACATATTTCAACTAAGGACTTTCATTAGGAAATTTACTCACAAAAAGTAAAATAATGTCCACAATATTTGACTGCAGAAGAAATTTACATGAGGATGAATTAAGTGTTCCATTGGTTTTCCCCCAATGCTAGTAAATTATCACCTCGTCCATACGTAATGTTATAGCGTTCATCAAGTGGGGGAGGTGGAGCGAGGTATCTCTAGGCCAAATTCACTGTTGATTTTGACCCGCAAAAACGAATTAATGGCGGGGCCCGAAATTAATTGTACATCGGATTTCTATGCAGGCTTAATAAGTCTAATATTATGTTATTGTTCCCCCACACTCACTCGTTATATACTGCATCCCATAAAGCAAACAAAAACTTTCTCATTGTATGAGGGCGCTAGACAGAGTTTATTATGTCACAGACAAAGGTGATCAGTGCTCGCTGTCTTCTGATAAAATGAAGCTGATTTAAATCAAAATTGCATAGCATTTATTAAAATATGAAAATAACAGTCACATATACATATATCTAATATAGTATATTATATACAGTACTTATATACTGGCCTACACATAGTGCAAATACTATTTACAGCACTTCGACGCATCCACATTAACAAAGATCAATGTGAAATACAAAATATTACATGTAGATATATATATATATACACATATACACATATATATATACATATATATACACATATATACATACATATATATACATACACACACACATATATATATATGTATATATATGTGTATATAGGGCCTATATGTGCATATATATATAT